TCAGGAGATGTCAGTCGTTCTGTCGGTTGATTGCCGTATCCACCGACAGAACGACTGACATCTCCTGAAAACTTGTTTGTACGTGCCCCTCTCCCAAGCCAGCCTCCTTCACTGCTAGTGGGAAAGAGGGTTTTGTTAACGGCCTTGTCGACGGTTTTTCTCAGTTTTTTCTCCACTGTCGTTCCACTTCGCATCTCTATACTCAGTTTCAATCGCCATAATACCCCCTTATTGAGCCCGACTTTTGCCTTCAAGGCTTAACCTCTTGAACCGTTCACAATTGGCATGCAGCGGTGCATTCTGTCGTGTTTCTAAAACTAACATTTGCTTGGAGTGTGAACGAGGGAAGCTCATGTTAAGGTAGGGGGCTCCTAGAAACGCGGCCCGATTTTCACCATACTTGTCAGTATTCTTTCGTACGCTTTCGTTAGTGCAGACATTTTATGTGGCGGATGTCTGTGTCCCTTGTCGATATTCTCCTTTTTCGGCTGTACTTCCGACCGCTACTTCATCTGTTGTATTTTGATAGGTTTTCATGGATGCTAGCGAGTAAGTTTACTACATACTTCACTCACTCTCGATTTCGATTACAATTTGCAGTGGGTGGATTCGTTGGTGGAGAGTCTCGCGCTTCTGTGGAATATTTGGCATTTAAAGAGGAAAATCCTAAATGGCAGATTGCTCCTTCCATCCTGAGCAAACAAAGGTATGGTATTCTGTACTGAAGGTGCTTCTGTGCTGAGAAAACTTTTTCAGAGGTGGAGCCGGTGTCGCTGTTCTCAACGGTTTGCTCTACGCTGCTGGCGGCCGTTGTTGGAAGACCTATTTGAGCTGCATTGAGAGGTATACGCATTTTTGCGATTTGAGAGATATCGAAGCGAAAATATCACAAATATTTCTTAAATAATGCAAATAACGTAATAACTGCCCAAAATAACTCTCAAAGTAGGATGTGTAGCAACGTATGCGACCAGTTCTACATGAAAAATTTTCTTTCGAAGAATCGGAAAATAACATGTACTACGTATAAATGGGGAAGGGGCGGAAGTGGTGTAGTGGCAAGTGGCACGCTTACCACGCGAGCGGTCCGGGGATCAAATCCTGGGTCGTGAGTCGCCCGGGCCAACCAAGCCTTCCATCCCTCCGGGGTCGGTTAATTGGTACCAGACTTGTCTGGGAGGATAAAAACACTGACTTGTACATCGGCTGGCCCCCGCAAGTCATTGTATAGGCCACATCGCATTCAAACGCCACTACGAATGTACAAATGGAAGTAGAATGCGTGCCGCATCCCAAAAAGGGATTGATCAACGGCAAATGCTTTATCCTTGTCCTTTATAGATGAGGGTGAGTCACGAAGGATTTGCCTTGGTGGGTGGAAGGGATATTAATCGGGATTTTTTTTTACTGACGTGGAGGTGATAGGTTGGGTATTTTTAGTACTTCAAACAGCTAAATGGGTGAAATTTGCTGTTTGACAACCACTTCTACCTCCCCCTCTCCACACAAGACAGATAACAAAGGCCGCGGATTCACTGTTACCGTAATCCGCATTAGCATTGGTGCGCGCTGCAGCAAGCATTGGCGCGCCCTTTAAGCGACGCAAGGATCAGCATGATGAGCCAAAAGATTGGGAATTCACAAAGCGGTGGAATAAAGGGTAGACAATGGAACACAGAAAAGAGCAGAGTGCGCAGCCCTGAAAGAGGATCAAGGAAGAGCGCTTCATACCCTAACGGTATCGCAGGCAAACCAGTCAT